AAGAGAGATTTTTGTTAATTTTCAACGTTTATTTGCATAGTTTGTTACATAAAGGTTTTTTCAATTTATGTGAGTTTAAAGAGATGTCAGTGATGCTTAAAAAAGAATAAATTTAACATGAAACAGTGATTTTAAGTCTGGTTAGTCTGACTCTAAGTCTGATTAGTTAGAGTGATTAAATTAACTAGGTGTATACCGTAAAATACGTTGATTTTTGTCTAAATTTTGATTTTTGATTTCTGTAAGATTTTCTTATTTTTTATTAACACTCAATACCGAAATAATCCCGGGATCCCGGGATTGAATAAGTATAATCCCGAAATCCCGGGATTAGAAATAAGGATCGGGATCGAATTCCCTACTGCATAATACACTATATGTACAGAACAATATCTTAATTAATACGTGCTCTTTCTCTTTATTCATTCACATTCTTTGAAAGTTTTAAAATTTGCCATCTAAAATCATGGATATAGCATAATCGATTTTATAATTAGGTTACCATAAAACGTTAATTTTCTATTATGTCAATCAATATTCGCATATTTTCATTGCAGTTAATTAAAATTAAAGCAAAGCAAGAGATTAAGTATTAACCTTGAGTGGATAATAGATACGTAGAACATCGAGGAAACGAAGAGAAATTTTAATTTTATTCTTTTGAGGATACCGGTCAGTATAAGTCTATTAATTCTTCATGGAATATTCTGTTTTCGATGCAATTCATCCGTATCTGAACGTTTTACGCGTCATTGGTGTATTTATACCCAAGCGCCAGGATTATTTATGGGTTAAAGCGCTTCTGTTTAATACATACTTTATAACAATAATTTCTATTTTCGTCTTTTATCCGGATCAATTATCAAAGATTTTTAAAAATTTGCATATTGATGAATTCTGTGGCATTCCCGTTGTGTGGGATATCTACGGAACGCATTTACGCTTCTTATTATTCGGGGCACTTTTAATTTCTCCGTTATTTCTTTACCTATTTAATACAAATGCATTTCAGATAATAAATGCGATCAAAATCCTGAACGAAAACGTAAAATATGCAAAGAGAATTCACCCAAAATTACTGCATTATCAAGACTTGGTTGTAATTTATTTCAGCTTCGTCCAAGTATTTGTGTGTTTGTTATTTGGCACTTTGTACGTGTATTACAGGAACGCTTACGGATATTCTAAATTATTCTGGCAAGAAAGCTTCTGTACCTTTCATTTATTATTTGGCGTTTTCATCAACGTCAGCGTCATTTGTTATAGCGCGGGATTGTTTGGGATTCTAACTTACATCTCTATTCAATTATTGGACACATTTATTATAGATATAAAGGTAAAAATACAGAGGAAAGAAGTTAATAGCAAGACATTGCTACTGGAACTGTCGTCGATTGTATATTTCATTAAAAGCGTCGATAAAATATTCGAAACTATTGAGACTTTGTTGATAACAGTTTTCATTCCCATAATTAGCATTGTAAGTATATACATAGTACTTTACGTATCGATTACGTACGAATCTCTGTTGATATGCTTTGCGTTTTTTTGGCTGTTGACTGTTACAGTAATAGACTTTCTATACTTGACAAGAATTCCTTCGAACGTAAGTTACTTTCATTTTACAGCAAATTTGTGAATTGTCTGTCTCCCAACCTTATAAATTGTTTAACGAGAATTATATAATTAATTCATTTTAGATGGAACGGTTTTTCACCTGCATAATGGACATTTATTTCCTTGACGATGACAATAACAAAATCGTAAATATTCTTTCATAATTTCAAAATTGAATATTTTACTTCGATTGTCATTAAAAAAAAGTCTGATTTTTATTACATTTTAAATCAGAACTCGCGTAACGACAGCACAATGAAATGTGTTTTCTTTGTTTTCAGACGGAAGTATTAATGTCCATATCGAGAGCCGAAGTGGGATTCAGAAGCAACAATTTCTTTTTCTTCGAAAAGCAAGCGGTTTTAAGTGTAAGTTTAATATCTCATATACTATATTATAATAAGGTTTATTGTTTTTATTGTTGTTTAATTATATAGAAAACGTGTTGTATAAAAGCAGTTTTTTTTAATAAAAAGTGTATTTTGTTTCAGTACACTGTCGAATTCATCACACAATTAATTGCATTTTTGACGTTAAGAAGTAAATCTATCATAAATTAGAACGTATCCCACCGAATATTTCTCTGGTTCGACTGAGAGATAATAAATGAAAAATTCAGTTCGATGCTCCTTGCCAACTGCAGCAATATTGCAGATTTTGAAATTAGACGTGACGTTCATATTGTGAAATCAACAGTGATTTTACGTCATCATTTTCAATGCCCGTATCTCGAGAGAGTTGAGGTTGGATTAGATTTTCGACGACTTCGATCTACTGCAAAGGAATTCAAACGTTAAGTAGATTGTAAGAAAGTTCTTTGTTAATTATTATGGATTCATCAAAATGCAAAAATGCATTTTACTGTGAAGGAAAAAACTGGAATGCTTTTATGAGTTACGACAACGCAATTTTTCCATGCATTTAGAGTTTCTTTTAACTTCACACAGGACGAACAATGCTCAGTTATAGAAAATGACTATTCGAGACAATTGAAAAACAAGGGAGATAACTATATCTTGTCATAGCAGGAAGCAGTTGGCAGTAATTAACAGCCGTCTCGTCTGCAACTGCGATAAAATATTGGAAAGAAGAGTTAAGAAAACTGTTTAATATATTTTAAAGCATTTCGTTTATAATCATTAATTAAATAATATTAAACACAGGAGAATGGCATTGCTGTCACATAAGTGGGAGTCACATTTGTAGGGAAGTGGAATACCAAACGAATGTCATCCCATTGTTCTTAAATGTTCACTAGCAGAAAAAAAATACTGTAGGCCTACATAAACTTTGCACCGTTCTCAGCAAAACCTGTGTTCGTTGCACACAGAATAAAGAAATTCTTTCGGCTTCGGCTAAACATGCATGTAAATATGTTGATCTGAGATAGAAATTCCAACATTGTAACAAAGTCAAAGCCGAACCCGATGTGCTTATCGCACTTTTGTGCTCGGAAGGAAAATGTAGAAGATCCGTGTTCATCGTTGTGATTTTCTAATATACAAGATGTGTAATAGATAAAGGTTTATACTACTACAATTACTTTAAAACTCATTTTCTATAATGGGAAACAACAATTTTACTTTTTAATTGTTTATTAGGGTATACATCTCATCTACTACGTTTGTACGTTTTAACACGAGTAATAGATAAGAGAAAATACATAGATAATAGTGATATACAAATAGAACGAGTAAATGCACTTAGTACTGGGATATCAGTTATCAAATTACTGTATACTTTAATAGATATGAGAGAATTGTTTTTTATGTAGAGATTATAAGTAAAATATTGTATGTATAGGCGTTATTGTTGTCAAAATATTAAGTGTTAATAAAACAGTCGATATCTTGTCTGATTAAAAACCGTATTTTACTGTATTATTTTCGAATAAATCCCCTGAAATAAATCACGTAGTGACGTCTGAAAATATTGTCTACAGAAATTATAGAGAACAAAATGTTACACCTTAATCTCTTTACATAAGCCGTAGTCTGGTTTAAAATAAGCGGTTTGTGAACGGGAATATAGGCGATATCTAACAAAAATTTCTTGTTGTATTTAGTACGTAGAATTTCCAGATACATTGTAGCTAGTATTTCATTCTATTGTAAATTGTTTGTTTTTTAAAAAGTCTAGCAACGATTTAAATAACTTTCCCGGCGAAAAACACCAAGACACACTAGCATAAAAGTGAAAACGTGCAGCGCCATTTGTTATGAGATTTTTTTTAAATAGTAGTTATATTATTAAGTTGTATGAAATAACAAAAAGGTTAATTCATCAATGTCTATTAAGATCCTATTATGCTTTATATATAAAACGAGTTTATACACAAATATTGTGATACTCTTGCAAGATAAAATCATACAAGGAGCCAAGTCACTCATTGTTTAAGAAGTTTCATTATTGTCTTTTGGTTTGTCAAAGGCCTGCGCCTCATCAGTCTGGCCTGATTTGACATTAGAATACGTTCAACGGAATCATTAATCATTAAAATTACAAAATGATTTTATAAAAAGTATACATTATGTACAGAGAACGTATAAAAATAAAGTAATCAAGCATCAATATTACAAAGTGACTTGATGAATTACGATATAATACAAGCAATAAAATGTAAAAACAACGGTAAACTGTAGTTAAAATTAAACACCAAAATTAACATTAATACTAAAATGCAAATATTAAAACATAAATACCTTTAATAATGTGAAAATGACAATAATCATTCGGATTTAAAATATATTAAAACAATTATGGAGAACTAAAGAATGCGGTTAATATAAATTACGTATATTGTGGGATTCTTCCTCAATATCGAATTTTTAGCCAGGGTGGATTAGTTAGCACAGGTGAGTATCGCATTAGAGTCGGTTAAATCGGAGTCATATATAAGTAGACAATCAACAACGTATCTATTATAAAAAATTATACCTCTTATAGTGTTTAGAACATTACCTGGCTGAATCATACAAAGTTCATCAACTTTAGGACCAATACAGGAGTCCATAAATATACCACGGTCACAATTCAGATTATGTAAAGTATTAATAATGAACTGCTTTGTAATAGAAGGGTACATGTTTTTGACGTCAAGACTCATTATTCTATAGCAGTAATATTTTTAATATTAGTTAGTAGTTCTTCAGAGTATGAATCATAAGGTATTTCAATGTAATTATCTGATTAGTAATATTATTTAAAACTGACTTGTATTTATTAAATTCAACAGCACTAATTGTTCAGTTTTATTAGTTTGTAAAATAATTAAATTAAATATATTTTTAAGGACTAAATGTTCACATTTCATTATTTTAGGGCCACTGTAATCAAGTGTTTTAATGACTGAATTTTTTTCATTTAGTGGAATATTACAATTAGAATAATTAATTAATTATTTTTCCAGTTAAATTTTTGTGTTATTGTTGGTTATTCTAATTTTATAACTAGTTTATTATATATTAAAATAGTAGCCTATAACTATCTCTAAGATTAAAACTAAATTTAAAATTACTATATTTTTTTCTTAAGTTTTAGCTTTCATATTCTTATTCTTTATTCCTTATGTATAAAGACAGATTATATATTTAACTGATTAATATTATTTATTGCATGTTTCTGCTTTGTTTTCGTAATAGATGTTGGTAAACAGTGTTGGAAGTTATCGTCTTCATATATTTTAAATCCGAGTGATTATTTTTATATTCACATCGTTAAAGGTATTTTTGTTTTCATTTTTTAAAGTTAATTTGGTATTTAATTGTAATTACAGTTTACCTTCGTATTTTAGATTTTATTATATTGTAATTCACCAAATAACTGGTGAATTACACTGGTAATGTTGATGGTTGATTACTTTATTTGTCTACATAATGTATAAGTTTTATAATTAATTTTAATGATGAATTATTCTGTTGTACTGTACGTATTCTAATGTCAAATCAGGCCAGACTGATCAGGCACAGGCCCCAAATGCACCTTTCTTTCTTTCAGTAGATAGTAGTTCATATGAAGTCTTATGGCTGTACACCTTTACCCGAGAGACTTGCGGGTGATCGCAATGCGACCGAAGAGTCGGCCTTACGGAATGGCCTAATCGCTCTCGAAAAAAGAATGCCTTCCGGGAGGACTTTAATGGGAAACTAGTCCACATTCAGGCGTCACTGACACGGAATAAACCCGGAAACTCTATGCTACCAGCCCGTCTGAGCAGGCGCGAATCCACGACGGAACTCGCAGTGTTCAGGGTCTAGTCCACTCAAGTGCGGGGGCGAAGACCGCTCAGCCACCAAATGCACCTTTGACAAACCAAAAGACAATAATGAAACTTCTTAAACAATGAATGACTTGGCGCCTTGTATAATTTAATCTTGCAAGAGTATCACAATATTTGTGTATAAACTCGTTTTATATATAAAGCATAATAGGATCTTAATAGACAATGATAAATTAAGCTTTTTATTATTTCATACAAATTAATAACATAATAGTTATTTATTAAAAATATCTGATAAGTATGGTGTTGCACGATTTCACTTTTATGCTAGTGTGTTTTGGTGTTTTTCGCCGGGAAAGTTACTTAACTCGTTGCTAGACTTTTTTAAAAAACAAACGATTCACAATAGAATAAAATACTAGCTACAATGTATCTGGAAACTGTACGTAGTAAATACAAGTAATTTTTGTTAGATATCGCTTATATTCCCGTTCACAAATCGCTTATTTTAAACCAGACTACGGCTTATGTAAAGAGATTAAGGTGTAACATTTTGTTCTCTATAATTTCTGTCGACAATATTCTCAGACGTCTCTACGTGGTTTATTTCAGGGGATTTATTCGAAGATAATACAGTAAAATACGGTTTTTAATCATACAAGATATCGATTGTTTTATTAACACTTAATATTTTAACAACGATAACGCCTATACATACATTATTTTACTTATAATCTCTACATAAGAAACAATTCTCTCATATCTATTAAAGTATAATTTGATAACTGATATCCCAGTACTACGTGCCTTTACTCGTTCTATTTGTACATCACTATTATCTATGTATTTTCTCTTACTATTACTCGTGTTAAAACGTACAAACGTGGTAAATGAGATGCCGACTCTAATAAACAATTAAAAAGTAGAATTGTTGTTTCCTATTACAGAAAGTGAGTTTTAAAGTAATTGTAGTAGTATAAACCTTTATCTATTACACATCTTGTATATTAAAAAATCACAACGATGACACGGATCTTCTACATTTTCCTTCCGAGCACAAAAGTGCGATAAGCACATTGGGTTCGGCTTTGACTTTGTTACAATGTTGGAATATCTATCACAATTCATCATATTTATGTGCACGTTTAGCCGATTCCGAAAGAATTTCTTTATTCTGTGTGCAACGAACACAGGTTTTCCTGGGAATTGCTATCGGTTGCAGTGTTTTCGAATGGTGCAAAGTTTATGTGCAGCTTTTTCCGCTGGTGAACAATTAAGAACAATGAGATGACATTCGTTAGGTACTCCACATTCCTAAATTGGGACTCCTAGTGATGTGACAGCGATTCTATTGTCCTGTGTTTAATATTATTTAATTAATGCTTATAAACAAATCGTTTTAAAACATATTAAATAGTTTTTCTTAACTTTTTTGCGCAATATTTCATCGTAGTTTAAGACGGAAGGGGAGTCAATTCCTTTCAATTCCTTCGCGTCAGGAGACGATACAATTTTCTCTCATGTTTTTATTTGTTTGTAGTAGTAGTAGTTGTAGTTTTCTTTTACTCTTTTCGCCCTGTGGGCACTAAGAGGGCGTCTTTTTGCAGGCCCTTTATGGGTTCGGCCAGGCCCACAATGGGGCTGCCGGGTGGTGAGGAACGGGGGTAGTAGCAGTAGCAGTAGTAGTTGTCTAGTAGTAGTTATTTTCTATAACTGAGCATTGTTCGTCATATGTGAAGTTAAAAAAAACTCTAAATGCACGGAAAAATTGCGTTGTCGTAACTCAAGACATCCCAATTTCTTCTTTCACAGTAAAATGCGTCTTTGCATTTTCATGAATCCATAACGATTAACAAAGAACTTTCTTACAATAAACTTAACGTTTGAACTCCGTTGAAAATCCGTTCAAATCCGTTGAAAATCTACTCCAGCCTCCACTCTCTCGAAATATGGGAATTGAAAATGATGACGTAAAGTCACTGTAGATTCAACAAAATAGGAACGTTAAGTTTAATTTCGAAATCTGCAACATTGCTGCAGTTGAGATGGAGCATCGAAGTAAATTTTTTATTTATTTCTCTCAATTGAACCAGTGAAATATTCGGTAGGATACGTACTAATTTATGATAGATTTACTTCTTATCGTCAAAAATGCAATTAATTGCGTGATGAATTCGACAGTATACTGAAACAAAATACATTTTTTATAGAAAACTGCTTGTATAAATAATACAATATATGTAAACAATAGTAGAATTATAAAATAGTATATAAGATCTTAAACTTACACTTAAAACCGCTTGCTTGTCGAAGAAAAAGAAATTGTTGCTTCTGAATCCGACTTCGGCTCTCGAAATGGACATTAATACTTCCGCCTGAAAACAAGAAAACACATTTCATTGTACTGTCGTTACGCGAGTATTGATTTAAAATGTAATAAAAATCAGACATATTTTACTAAAAATTGAAGTAAAATATTCAATTTTGAAATTATGTAAGAATATTTACGATTTTGTTATTGTCATCGTCAAGGAAATAAATGTCCATTATGCAGGTAAAAAACCGTTCCATCTGAAATGTGTTAATTACATAATTCTCATTAAACAATTTATATGGTTTGGAGACATACAATTCACAAATTTTGTGTAAAATGAATGTAACTTACGTTCGAAGGAATTCTTGTCAAGTAAAGAAAATATATTACTGTAACAATCCACAGCCAAAAGATTGCAAAGCATATCAATAGAGATTCGTACGTAAACGATACGTAAAGTACCAAATATATACTTACAATGCTGATTATGGGAATGAATGCTGTTATCAACAAAGTATGATAAGTTTTGCATATTTTATCGATGCTGTTAAAAAAATGTACAATCGACGACAGTTCCACTAGCGATGTCTTGCTATTAACTTCTTTCCTTTGTATTTTTTCCTTTATGTCTATAATAAATGTGTCTAACAATTGAATACAGATGTAAGTAAGAATCCAAATGAATCCCGTGCCGTAACAAATGACGCTGACGTTGATGAAAATGCCGAATAAAAAATGAAGAGTACAGAAACTTTCTTGCCAGAATAGTTTAGAGTATCCGTAAGAGTTCCTGTAATACACATACAAAGTGCCAGCTAACAAACACACAAATACTTGGACGAAGCTCGAATACATTACAACGAAGTCTTGATAATGCAATACTTTTGAATGAGTTTTCTTTAAGCATTTTACGTTTTCGTCCAGGATTTTGATCGCCTTTATTATGTGAAATGCATTTGTATTATACAGGTAAAGAAATAACGGAGAAATTAAAAGTGCACCGAATAATAGGAAGCGTGATTGGGTTCCGTAGATATCCCACAGAACGGGAATGCCACAGAATTCGTCAATATGCAAATTTATAAAATTCTTTGATAATTGATCCGGATAAATGACGAAAATAGAAATTATTGTTATAAAGTATGTATTAAACAGAAGCGCTTTAACCCATAAATAATCCTGGCGCTTGGGTATAAATACACCAATAATGCGTAAAACGTTCAGATAAGGACGAATTGCATCCAAAAGAGAATATTCCATGAATACGTTTGGTTGCTTTTCTATTAATTGTTAATCTGTGAAAAAAAGACTAAAATTATGTCTTGGTCTCCTCGATGTTCTTGGTATTTTCTCTATTCACTATCCCATAATATATCACTAAACACTCAGAGGTAATTTCTTAATTTGTTTACATATTAATTGCATATATTGATTGATATAATGGAATATTAACGTTCTTAATGGTAATATAATTTTAAAATCCATTATTTTATATTTATCATTTTGGATGGTGAATGTTAAAAGGTTCAAAGAATGCAAGCATGAATAAAGAACACGCATTAATTATAGATAATGTTGTAGTACATCACAACTATAGACCATCATTTATAAAATTGATATTAGTCTGGACATTTTCCAGACCGATTCCCTAAAAGCAGTTCGTCGCTTTCCATAGAAATAGGCTTAATATTTTTTATGATCCCAGAATTTCCTTATTATTAATATTATAATCATTCAGAAAGGATATTTTAAAACTCTTCACTTGCGGCTGTAGTGTAGACTTGATGAGTGGCCGGTTGGCCGAGCAGTCAAGGTTTCCGCTGACCGCTCAGGGGTCCCGGGGTCAAATTCCTGGGGATTATTTGACCAGGAAGGGTCAAATAATCCCCAGGAATTTTTCGGGAGGTGGTCTGTTCGGATATGTCGGGCCCCATTCCTCAACACTCGGCTGCCCCATTGTGGGCCTGGCCGAACTCATAATNGGTATTTTCTCTATTCACTATCCCATAATATATCACTAAACACTCAGAGGTAATTTCTTAATTTGTTTACATATTAATTGCATATATTGATTGATATAATGGAATATTAACGTTCTTAATGGTAATATAATTTTAAAATCCATTATTTTATATTTATCATTTTGGATGGTGAATGTTAAAAGGTTCAAAGAATGCAAGCATGAATAAAGAACACGCATTAATTATAGATAATGTTGTAGTACATCACAACTATAGACCATCATTTATAAAATTGATATTAGTCTGGACATTTTCCAGACCGATTCCCTAAAAGCAGTTCGTCGCTTTCCATAGAAATAGGCTTAATATTTTTTATGATCCCAGAATTTCCTTATTATTAATATTATAATCATTCAGAAAGGATATTTTAAAACTCTTCACTTGCGGCTGTAGTGTAGACTTGATGAGTGGCCGGTTGGCCGAGCAGTCAAGGTTTCCGCTGACCGCTCAGGGGTCCCGGGGTCAAATTCCTGGGGATTATTTGACCAGGAAGGGTCAAATAATCCCCAGGAATTTTTCGGGAGGTGGTCTGTTCGGATATGTCGGGCCCCATTCCTCAACACTCGGCTGCCCCATTGTGGGCCTGGCCGAACTCATAATGGGCTTGCCAAAAATAGGCCCTCTTAGTGCCCACAGGGTGGAAAAAGTTGAAAAAAAGTGTCAGCTTGATGAAGTTTCGGTAGTGAGTGGAAAGAGAACGAGAACTTTTAATCTACTTATAAAAACACGGACTTGAAGAATGTAACAGTTGCCAAATTAGGAAACGAGACAACAGGGACAAAGACATAAATTTTCGAAATGTACACAAGCTTAATACAAAAGTACAAACTGACGTATTACAGTTGTCGGCTTTCGTTTTCGATCTTGTAACAGAATTCCGAGGACATCAATTTACTTTTAATTACAGGTAGGCCTCGGTTTACGCCGCAGTTCCGTTCCTACAAAAGCCGGCGCAAATCGAATCGGCGTAAAACGAACCCGTATTTACAGTGAGGTATAGAGTTAGGTTCAACATAAGTGAAAAATAAGCTAATAATTTTGTTTATTAATACAATATAATACAAAATACATATACATTTTTTTAATTTTTAAAATGTATTTTATCATAAAATAAAGTTAAATGTTTTTATTTAAAAATTTTAGTTTCGAATTTCTTACATTTTTCGGAAAAAAGTATCCATCTTTAATTGTTTACATTTTTGATTTCTTTCATTAAGAATTTCGGAATATGGTCGAATATGATGCACTTCGCTCCCAACATTGTCTAACTCACAAACTTCATCCGTCAAACTTTCCTTAGTTGAAAGGATACGTTAACCCGACGTAGAGCTACGGATGAGCGAAGACACTGATTGGTCGACCACTGGTTGCCGTAGCGCGTATATAAAGTCACTTTGAGCGTGAAAATTCAAGGTGGCTAAGAAGAGATAAATATCGTCTGGCCAACGAGAAGTAAATTTGTCTCACTAACGATAATGTGATCGCCGGAAGTGCTATTGCGTTGTAAGGTGTGTGGCGACAGCTTTGGCGATAAATTCCAAAGCCACCACAAGGGGGAACCCCTGAACTGTACAAACCTGACCTATGACATCACACATTCTTGTTGGATTTGGACCTCTCCAGACGCGTGTAGTATCGTTCCGTGTTTTAACCTGTACAGTCGCGCCATAATTCATATATAGAATAAATGTTAATATTTTATTGTATGTGGCCTGGTTTGCAATGATTAATTTCACACAAACTGGTGACCACAAGGTGTTTTCCTGAATGAACTGATATGGGATACATTCATTGGTGCTATGAATTCGGACGCCATTTATTGGACTATTAAGTTTAATATCTTGACTCGTGGGTACCTAAACGTTTAGTATTTTAATATTAATTTAATGCAAATGTATACATACCCAA